AACTTCATCAGTGCCCGCTTTCAATAATTTGGCTATTCCATCAGGTCGGAGAAGGTGCTTTTGAAGCCCTGTTCTGAGATGCGGTTCTTGAGACAGTATTGAGACTGTTTCTCAACTTATTAATAATTCACCAAGACGAAAAAAGGAGAGATTGTTTGAAATTTAATGTTTATCACCTTAAATCACCTTAGACATTTCTAAAAACTTTTAAAAATCTTTAATTGAATTTCTTCGAACGTCCTGGTCTATTTGAGAGGCTTAGTGCTATATCAAACGCTCGACATATTTTTTTATCTGTGCAAGAGAGAAGTAATCCTCTTATGATTTCCGACAGTTCATATTTGCTCAGAGCCGATAATCAAACATTTTTATGGACTGACAAATCCCCATGAAAGCGATCTCGAAGCCTCTGGAGTGACCAACATAAATGTTCTCCTAATAACACCAATATACAATTAAAAGGAACGGTTATGGGAATGACGAATAAAATGATCATGAAATGGAAATGCTTTGTTCGTTTATCAAATTTCCCAACTAATTCTGTAAGGAAACAGTGTATCGAAATTATTCGAGAGAATTTGTGGATGTGGATTTTAGGGCTTATGTGGGTTAAATTACATCTTGAATCGAACAGTCCTTGACATTGCCTTTTCGCACCTTGAATGGGTATAGAAGCCGTCTATTTATTGGACTTTTTCACTGATCGACATCATTTGCATTCATTGCTGACCGTAGGTTTAATTTGAAGGTGATGGTGCGAGTGCGACTGACTGTTAAGCTACGGTAAAATCGGCGACAAAAACGAACATCTTCATTTTGACAACATTGCTGGAAAACGAGTTGAAAAGTGAAGCCTGTGCGTTTAACGTCTAACGAATCAAACCTCTCTTGCAACAAATTAGGTTGTTGTTGCAAGTTCCGAAAAGTTGCTGCAGAAACTAGACGGTGGTTCTTCTTTTTGCAACAACTTTTTGTAACCTGAGACACGCATAAAGGTCGTTTGCTGTTGCTCCTTAGTTGTTTTCGCCTGTTTTCAGCCTGTGTTTTACCGTAGCCTTATAGGATCATCCTTTAGTCTTAAGGTTCGTGTTGCAGGGCCTCTTAGCTAAACTTGTCAATGATGTGCAGATGAAGCGACTCTCGATTTAAAAGACGAAATATTGATTATCAGCCGACAAGCTGCAAAAGAAAAATCTAAAGGCTTTTCAAAGATCTTGATACTTGAAGAGTGAAGCCTGAAGGCCAAACGTCGAAACATCTTGAATCAATGATTGCATTTCAAACTAAAAAGTCGAAAGATTTACGCAAAGAAAGACATAAAACGTTCGAAAACGACTTTTTTAGGTCTTTTATCTGTCAAATATAAAAAGGAAGAGAATATTTAACAACGCGAAAAGATCAGCAGTAAACTCGATCGTCTGAGTTCGAGAGCTTAAGCGCCTTTTGAAATTCGATGAAATAAAATCTTTTATAAGGTAATTTAGTCTTTTGCTTTAATTTTATATAACTTGCTTTTTGTAGGAAAATGAGGCGACTGATTTGTTTTTGAAGGAAAGAAACCGTGTCCGCTTATGAGTTCTAGTGGTTGACTATCTGGTATTTTTATTCCTAACTATTCCCCTCATATTTTAATTTTCAGCAATCCCCAAATCCAATGTTTTCCATTGCATGCATTTTAAACAGTACAGCTGCCCCGACCCATTCTTTTCTTCATTAAAAACATTCGAAAAATAATCGAGAGTTTTCACACATTTACTAAACCAGTGACTACGACCTTATGATGGAGCCATTCGATGACAAAAATAAATGAAAAACAAATCTTTTGACCAGAACCCACCCGGGACAGTTCGTCTGACTGATTTTTGATCGACAAACACGTTTTATCCGTCTTTTTTCAGAGGGTGCTAAAATGCGGCGGTTTATTCAACAGAAATATTTTGATCTGTTCGTCGCGACAACGAAAACTGTCCGGTATAATCTGGTTTCCGTAAAGAGGGGTTCCATCGTTCGACTGTAAACCTTTTTGGCGCCAATTTTTTTTTCTCATCGTCCAGCAGTCGAACTTAACTAAATCCGAAGGTCGAACAAAATGGCACTGTGGGTTCGTCTTTTGAAAAGTTTGACGTTTGGCCTTGGCTTGAGTCCCTTAAGGTCTCGGTAAATGAAAATTTTAGTACATTGCTCGATTTTGTTTTTTTGGGATTTTTGGCATGAGTGGGTCCTAAATTTTATTTTGGAAGAAAAAGAAAATCAGAAAGTGCTTTTTAACCCTTCTAAAATGAGCCTTTTCTGAGCTAACCAGCCAAGCGTGGACCTCGCGCTAAATCTTTAGAGCTGATTTTCTCTCACTCTATTTTAGACGCAAAAATCAAAATTCTCCGACCTCCAGTCGGGACAGGTTTTAAGCTATCGCTTTGAAACTTTCAGATATGATGGATAATGATATAGACTCAAAAAGGGTGTGAGGAATTTTCCGATTTCCCTTTGTAACTCATATTATGCCAGTTTCTTTGCGTAAATCGCCCTCGAGATTCGACTTTTTAGTTTGAAATGCAATAATTCCGCTAATACGAGACATATGCAAATTTCCTCACACCCTTTTTTAGGTCTTTTATCTGTCAATCAGATGCAATAAAAAGGAAGTGAATATTTAACAACGCGAAAGGGCTGGAGCTTCAGCAGTAAACTCGATACCTCTGAGTTCGAGAGTAAAAAACTTAAGCGCCTTTTGAAATTCGATGAAATAAAATCTTTCATAAGGTAATTTAGTCTTTTAGCTTTAATTTGATATATAACTTGCTTTTGTAGCGAAAATACTCGCGCGACTAGAATTTTTTTCTGTGGGCACCTCGTTTTCCTTTACCGAGACCTTAAGTAAGTGTTTTTAATCAGTATCTTTATCAAAAGAAAGAAGTATTACTTAAATGATAAGATCTCAACAGGGAGCAAAACCCACGTATGGGGCGTCATACTAACACAGGTAAGAACTGCAGCTACACCTTTTTCATTATCAGGGAGTAAACTTTCATTAACGTAAAAAGTATTAATCAACACAACTAATGTATAAACAGTTTAACTAAAGAAGCAATTACTTCAGTTTGTGGCAAATTCATTAAGGATTTTTGCATTCATTACTGATCAAATTCCTATTAATAGCGTTTTATTCGGAAAAAAAAAACACTCCCTCACAATCTTTGACCGCTTGGGTTAATTTTCTTTTGGGCGAATATACTTTCAGTATAAATTAAAATTTTATGGGCAATTTTTCTTTTGCATTGGAAATACTTATTAATTCGGAAACAAAGTTTTACATTCCGGGGAATTCGCTTTGCAAATCTTGCGCACAGAATACTTAGAGCGATCGAACTAGTTCAAACTTGTATGGATTATTGGTGCAAACTGAACAGACTTGCTGAACGTTCTGTGATGTACAGTCACTTGACTTGGAGCAAAGAAAAAAATAAACTTAATGAACAAACACCAGGCAGCGATCAAAAATTTATTGGCATTATTGAACGTTCGTCTCTATGAAAAAAGTCTTTAAATTGCTCATCAATGATGGGCAATCATGATTACATTATTTATTTCATCGACCGAATTTTTGACGTTTTAATCAAGAAAGTTTTTTCTTTTCGGGCGTCAATGAAAATCATTACTGGTAATGAATAAGAGAGAAAAAGGCGTATACTAGGCGGCTCACTTGTTAAACTTTTTTTGTCTGACGAAGTGCGCCATGGCAAAACGGTGGACTATGGCTTGAGGTTAGTAACAGGTTACGTCTTGACTAGAAAAAACTGCCACATGAACTTAAACTTTTATCTTTTTTATTGTTCCGGTTACCTTTGACTTCACGCGGTCGTACAGATCAGCACATTACTGATTTAGAAACCAAGTGCTATAGATGACGAAACGGTAAAGAATAGAAAACTGATTGATTAATGGTAACCAAGAGAGGATATCCTCTCTTGTGGTAACTTACTCTCACAATTAGTATTTATTTTCAAGGTCCTGCCAGACCCTGTGGACACTCGCTTCGGAAATGGCCTGTTTAGCTGTCGTTTTATTCTCCTACGTATACGCAACCTTGGTTACTGCAGAGGCAAGGTATTAAACTTAAAATGCATTTGCACTCTGACCATGCAGTAACTGTATCCAGTTAATATGGCTGTTTCCATGCCACGACAACAAAGCTTAATGGTGACAGTTCCAATTCTAACAGGATTATCCGACGACCTTTTTCTGCAAATTGCCTAGAAATTTCTAAAGCGCGAGAAAGGCTAAAAGTTTAGTGGATAAAATATTCGGAGTTTTCCTACTATCTTACTTGCACGGTTTTCGGATGTTGTGTTTTCCCAATCTTATTACAAAGCTATTATTATCATTCTTTTAAAACAAGTCTACTGTGAAAATCGGCATAAAGACAAAACGTCCCCTAGAATTTTCTCATGAAAGAACCGCTACTTCACGTCCTCGAACTTTCGACCAAACCCATCAGGTTAGCTAAGAGTTTCGGTGAGATGAAATGGCCATCTAAAATTTTAAGACGATCAAAATTTCCCCTAAGACATCCGAACAAATGACTAGTTTTTAGGGCAGCTCTAAATTAACCAAAGAATATAGAAAGCAATTTGAGACACGTTTGATAACAGTTTGGAAACTTTGGTTGTTGGGTGCCCCTGACACCCTGATTCAAATGAATGGTAAAAAAATATAAATACAAGTATGCGTTGGAAACGACGGAAAACAAGGCTTTTTGAGGATACTCCCTCTTCTTCAGTGGCTTAATCAGATTGCAATGTTGCAGGGTTGCTTTTAAGCCCCTGAAGAGGAGGGAGCACCCTTGAAACGTCTGGTTTTCCTTTTTTTTAACGCATATTTTTATCAATTTTGCCACTCACTCGATGGTTTGCATTGCGATGTTTCTTCAAAATTTTTTGCCCCCTCATTCAAATAGCCGTCCAGCGGTAATAAATCCATCACTAGCGTCATATTTTTGTTGCAGCGGAAACCTTTCCCTACTTCAGGTCCTCAAGAAGCACTTGATTGACAGCAACTATGACAAGGGAACACCACCTTACTTTAAAGGTTTGAGCCCATTGGCAGTTTGAGTACTTTAAATCGCGTTACACCAGGACGTCATACGGGTTGGCCTTAGTAGAGGGAGAGAATTTGCGCATGGCAAGAAAAGTACTTTAAAGCTTACTCGAGCTGTTTAATTAAAGTTTGGCTAATTCGACCACGGAGCAGCAAAAAGCGAAGGGGAATACTCACTTTTGACACTTTTCGAACACAAAAGTTAAGGCAGGAGTATAATGGAAACTGGAAGCTACCCAATAATTAGCAAGCTCAAGAAAAGTTCGATTCAGTGGTACACATTTTAAAGAAAGAACATCCCATGTCTTAAAAATTGAAAACGCGAATTATAGGTTATCGCGCTATTTGACTGACGCCATATGAAAAGAACGCAAAACAAAAAGGAGATCTAGAAGTGCCTTAGTTTGTTAATATATCGACAATTAATTTCCTTTCAGTGAATTCCACGCTAATCGATCTTGACGTTTATATTGACACATTTGGTAAAGTGGAAGAAGTAAATATGGTAGGTTATTTAATGATTTTATGGTTCAGAGGGACTCAGTGTGAGCCTTTAAAATTCCAGCGCACTTTTACTGAATGGGAAGGTCTCACGGCCTGAGAAGCCTCTCCTGCATGTATCACCCTCCAGGGTTTCTTCTTTTCTATAAGTTATATTTTCATGTGCGCCACCAAACGGTACGCTTTTTCTACCCAACTATTTTGATCTGAACTGAATAACATTTTGTGCTTCCTGAAGCCAGAGTTTGGAATAAGGTGTTTATTTTTTATCCTTGGTCTGTTGAGAACAGCAGATTATAGAGACGTCTGGCTGAAGCAGTTATACCGTCAGAGATCCGGCAACAACGAACCAGTGAGTTATATTTATGCGTTGTATGGACCTCTGTATTCAAAGGTTTAGGGTTCGAAAAGTCTCATATTTTTCTCTGAAATTGGATGGGGTGGGGGGAGGGCAGGAAGATTGTCTCAACCCCACCTCTAACGAATTTTCCGGGAGTAACCCCTAGGTGCTGCTCTTTTATAATCAGTAAATTTATTTCAAATTACTGTAATACTACGTACAGTAAAAATAATACTTTAATACCTAATTCAAAAGTGAAATTAGAACACAAGCAGCCATGTCAAAAATGGTAAACCAACGCATTTTTTTGAAAAATTTGAATAGAAATGCAATGGACTACGAGCAAAAGTCACGAGGGCTCTGGCGTCTTCATGACGTGTCTGTAGCTTGTGATTACTCACGCAGTACTTCTCCAAATAGGCTACTATTAGGCTAGTTTATATACAGCTATTTCGAGAAAGGTTGTCGGAAAAAAATGTGCACGCGACAATCCCGAAAGGTAATATGGGATACTTGATCAATACAAGTGACTTTGTAGCTTCCTTCAGCACTCGCAAACATGTCCATGGCCTCTCCTTCCATTCTATCAACTTTTTTTGAAGAACAGTGAACTCAGAACCACCCACAATAACTTTCCGGATTGTCGCGTGCACTTTTTCCGACAGCCTTTCTCGAAATAGCTGTATATAAATACCGTAACCCTCTATCAAGGCCACCCTCTCAAATAGCCTCCCTCCCTATATAAAGCCTCCTTTTTCGTGGAGAAAGTTATCAACCCCCCTTTTTAAGTCCCTCTCCTCCCCCTTTATTCTTAAATGATAGACTGTATTTATCAATCATGACTGTAGAAGACTTCACGTGGACTGACCCGGTATGATTTATAAGTTCAAGTGCTGGAATAACCTGTGCACAGACGCCCCCCTCTCCTCAGAAAAATTTAAGGAGAGAGACGCATGTGAATGGCCGTCGTTAACTTAAAATTCGCGTTAACTCGAACTAAATTTCCTTTCACCTGATCAAATTTCACCAAAATTTACCCCGATAACTCGAATTCTGGTTCTTATGACTCCCCTCGGACGCCATTTAAGGCATTAGCTCGCGGTTGTGTAATCAGTAAAAAAATGTAACACGACTGCGCGTTTTATCATAATAAATCACGTAATCATGTCACCGTTTTATCGATGAAGTAAGTAATTTTGCACTCAATAGTGTACACCCAGTGAAGTTCTAAAAAATCACATACCAAATTGAAGATTCAATCGACGCCGATAACTCGAATCCCCACTAACTCGAACTGTTTCCCTTCAGGGTGCGAGTTACCGGGGTTCTACAGTGTAAATTCAATGCCAACTTTTTCTCCAACAGGAAATAGGAGCATACGTATACTTTCGTCAACAATGGACGGATCCCCGCATCGCAAACGTCATTAATTCGACAGTTTGGATGAAGGGAGAAGATATTATGATGCTGTGGAAGCCTGATACTGCATGTTATAATTCCCGCGGTGAAACGAATCTGGACAAAGAGGACAAACACATACATTCCGTTATGAAGTTGTTCCCAAATGGCACTGTATACTACTCAAGAAAGTAAGCTTCTACTTAGGTTCGTGATTACAGCCAGGCGCGGATCCACCCCTGTCCACCGTTTTAAGGAAATCGGTCCAGTCATAATAAACATATTCTTAAATAGAATTTTCCAAGTTGAAATCTGGAAAATGGGGTGGACAAATGTTTTCTTTTTATCAATTTCCGTGCATTAGATGCTCCCTCAATAAATCAGAATCCCGGGAAAGGGAACTTTAGGGAGTTAAAATAAAATAATACAAAAAAAAACCGGGGATGCATGCCCCGGGAGGCCTTCAAACTTGTTTAGGAAATCGGTCACTATTTATGAGAGACAGCAAAATTAGAACCGGGTTTTTTGTTCAAAAGTGAAAAATACCAGAAACCTAGGGAAGTTTTAGGGGTGTACGGACACGGGAGGGGCCAAACTATTACACTGTTTAAGACAAAAATTGTCATTTTATTTTTCAGCGAAACCCCATTTACGGACACGGGGTACATTTTTCAGTCTTTAAGTATATGAATGGATGGGGATTTCACTAGTTAAAGTATAAACAAAAGGGTGGGGAAGAGAAATGTTTCATCATTTGGTCTGTAAAAACTCCCAAAAGACCTGACAGATGCATTTTATGGCTGTGAGAAAGTCGAGAAAGCGTGTGATTTATTGAGATGTTGAAGACAGTGCATTTACAGCAGCTGAAAGAGATGCAAAGTTCTAAAACCCTCTAAACCGGCTACGTATATGAAAGGGGTGCCATTTTTGTCAATAGAAGGGATACAATAGGGGTACCTCTTCTGTCAAGAATTGTATAGATAAAAGAGTAATTAAGGGGTTTGACCTCGGAACGGAGCCTCTCCGTATAAAACGTTGTTGATTACCTCCCTCCCCTGGCCCAACGGAAGTCAGTTGGGTAGGTAGAAAGGGCGCGACAAACGTTTTCAGATTTTAACCCTGACTTAGGAAATTTCCTTAATTCTCCTTCTACAGCACTCACTTGGTAGCAGCCTGTGATATGAACCTGCGTAACTTTCCAATCGATACTCAAAATTGCACCTTTACTTTTGGAAGCTGTAAGTATGCTTCACTTTGTTCAATAAATTAAAATTCTCCTTAATTAATGGGCCCTTTGCTGAATAGGGTCACATGGCACAAAAAGAAAACCACCTTGCTGGATGGAAAACGGCGCAGTGAAACCTGGAAAAGAAAGGAAGTCAAGTTTTTGAATGATGTAATGTCTTTGTCTTTCTTGCCCTTCTGCGCCGTTTTGTTTTGTTTTGTTTTTTTTTATCATGTAACAGTATTCTGAAAAAGTGGTGTCATGCACGGATCATTTAATTTTGACGAGGGGGGAGAGAGATTTTGGGCAATTTCTCTTCTGATTTTTCATGAGCTGTTTTCGTGCCACAAACGGTGAACTTCTGCATGTTCTTATCGAGCACTTGTTTGCAAGGAAGCTCTTGGTTTCTTTTGTTTACTAGTATTCTTATCAATTTATTATCAGACGGTTTTCCAAACGACGCCGTAGACTACCGTTGGCATAGAAACGGTGTTTTCATAGCCCGCCATACAATGGCCCAGTTCACGGTCATCGCTTCTCAAGTATCCAGCAGAGTTCTAAAGTTTGATGTTGGTACGTTTTTATTGTTAAATTTTCATTTTCACCTTTCATTCAATGCGCGCGTTTTGGCCTCGTTACTTTCTGTTTCGGATTCACGTATCAGGTGCCTGTAAACGGCAAAACGATTCCGGTTCCAAAATTCTTTGGTTCGAATCAAACCATTAGGAAAATATCCTCTAGTGCATTTAAAAAAACTTAGGATCGCCTGTTGATTCGTTCTCTAGTGTTCACTCAAAACTGTGGAGAACAAGATGCGGCCCATTCCGGTATCAAGCTTACTCATAATAGGTGAAACTCTCTTTCAATGTTGCCATGGCTCTTTTTCCTAACTCGCCTTTAGATTTTACTTTTATGGAAACAGAAACAATAAGTTCATGAAAATGGCCAACGGTGCCGGCTAACGGTGTGTTGAGAGACCAGTGATATTCATTTCAATGAATCAAAATGTAAACATTGCCTTGAGCTCCGCTGAAAAATCTGCTCAGTTATTGCAATATTTTTATATGCTTTGTAAGCCAGTCATGCACTTTTTAATCTTTACCTCAGGCCTCTTTACCTTGTTGGATATGTCATTTCTCTTGCAAAGGAGCTTGGGATACTACCTGATTCAACTGTATCTTCCGTGTATTTTCCTGGTCATGCTCAGTTGGCTCGTTTTTTGGATGAGTCCCGAGAGTGGAGGGGACAGACTCACCGTTGGCATCACCTGTATTCTTACAATCGTCTTTCTACTGGGCTACGTTAACGGCATGCTGCCTAAGGTTTTGAGCTCTTTTTTGACAGTTTTCAGTTTCTTTTATCTTCATTTGCTTGCGAGCAAGCTCTACATTTGATATGGCGAGCAAAGCGAGCCCCGGGAACGCTGCCTCGCACGCGCGTCTCCTTTCGCGTGCTACTCTCGCGTGACTTCCCGCCACTCCCACAAATGGAGAGCTTGCTCACAGGCTATATCCGCTTTGACGGTGATTTCGTCGCCATGTGATTAAAAGTGCACATTTCGAGAAACCACTTCTTTTGAGTCCGCGTCAGAAGCGCGCGCCCATTTTTTGCCACTTCCCAACCAGGTGGGTTTTTTTCCAGTCATTCTTTCGTGGATAGTAAGGCGCAGCTAAAAGGGATAAAAAGATTACGATTGAGATTGTTTAAGGCAAAGTTTAAAGAAATAACTGTAGATGCTTCTGATCTTTCTGCTTCCGGTTAGTAGGAAGGCATTTTTTATGGCAAGTCCTGAGCAAAGGGCTTTTTCTCTCTCTAGGAGCGAGACCCCTTTGGGGTCTCTTGTTTTTCTATTAAATTATGTATTTACATCAATTTAATTATTATATCGGTGACAATGCGACCCGATCACCCGCCCCTGAGCTGCTTCAAGAGTGAACTTAATTTAATCATAGCTCCAAATAACCGATTATTCGTCAGTATACCAAGTCGATGCAGTCTGCACCCACCTGAAGTAGACGTACTAACACTAGTAAAGAAAATGACAACCATTTTAATTTCTAACCGGCTTAATTTTTAGGTGAGCTATGTTAAAGGAGTTGACTGGTATCTCATAACGTCATTTCTTTTCATTTTCCTGTCGTTGGTTGAGTGTGTTGTGGTAGAGAAGCTGGAATCTTCAGCCAGTAAAGAAAGAGCATCTAAGGAAAGCGGACAGGAAAACGAAGACCTGGTAATAAAAATCTTTTGTGGCACACTGGTCTAATTTCGCCAAAAAAGCACTTTGATGCTTTTAACTTAAGAAACATATGAGAACTAACCTTTGAGCTGGTTGGGGAGCGAGAGACCAATGAGCAGTAAAGCAGAACTTCTTATGTAAATGTAACGAGAAACCCCAGCAAGCGAGGAAGTCTATTCCTCACCCCCGAGTTCCTGATCAACCTCATACGTTTTTTTTTTGCCGGTACATCTTTTTGAACTGTACAAAAGCAAAACGAGACGCTTTCGCAACTTTTATAAACGTTTTTCAGAGTTTATTGAAAGAAGGATAATGGCTGTCATAATATAGTAAAATAATGAAAACGAAAACGAAGAAGAAAAACTCTTTAAAAAGCGCCTCCTTGATAGAACCGGCTTCATAAGAACACTGGACCGAATCTCTGTTTATCTGTATCTATCAAAACCCTTGTATACATTGTCTTATAAGTTTTCTTATCATTAAAGCTAGGCTGAAAAAATATTTCTGACCTTCTTTTCCAGAAATATAATCCTTTCGAGCACACATCATACGCTCATTCGTTTCCTATTTTAAAACAAACCTTAAATACAGACTTTAATTTTGACAAGTTATTCCTCTCCAACTACTCTCCGACAAATTCCTGCGTTTTCCTTGAAAATACGTAGTCTTGAGGTCCGCAGCCATCGTGTAAACCGCGCGAAAAATATAACGTACTACGGAAAGTCAAAAAGAATATTTTTTATTTGACCCACCCCACTACCCTTTGGACAGGACCGCTTCAAACAGTTCCCCACC